CCAGACCCGAAACGTCAGCTTTCCTGCTCCTCTGATGCTGCTTGGCCTGCTGTGTTCATCCAGCTCTACACCTTGTTATCTCAGATTCTCCAGCATCTGCAGTTCCTACTACCTATGTAATCTATTCCAGTTTGTCTGCTGGTGTGCTCTGTATCAAGCGTTTTGAAGCTAATATGCTCTAATAAAAAAACGTGAATGTTAGAAAAAGTTTAAACCTGCCCGGTTGGAATATTTTAATTTAACGGGTCTTTTCTTCTATTTTTTCACTCCCCAGAAAGAAGAAAGCGGACCTGGTAAGTTTTCATGAAGTACTAACCAGACTTTCATTGAACTATTAATAGTTCAGTAATTAGGTGCTTGGAAAGAAACAAGTGAATGAATATATTATTTTGGGGATTTTGCCTTTTCTATTATTACCAGTTACTGCGGTGTTGCTACTTATCAAATCCAAATAGGCAAAGCAGAGCATTTGATTGTGGCTTTAGTCTTGATGTTTGCTTTGCTGGTCATGCATTGAATTTTAAATGCAGCCATTGAAATCTAAACAACTTAAACAAAATAGATCTCTGGTTTGCATCTCAAAACCTAGAATGCACAGCAGAATTACAGGCCATTCAGCTCTAAAGGATTCACGCCAGTGTTCTATGCTGCAAACAAGCCTCCTCTCACTCTAGTTTATCTAACACCGTGAGCATATATCTTCTGTTCTTTTCTCGTATTTGTATCAATCTCGTTATCCCTGAGATGTGTCAGTACTGTTTTGTTTTAATTACTCAGGCCTTGTGATGGCAGCTTCCATATTCTCTGGATAAAGTGGTTTTTCCTGATATACCCTGACAAACTCCTGTCACATTTCAGTCAACAGTTCCCCTAATAATTGGCTGGTCTTGCTCAAAATTAGAAGGACATCTCCAAGCAAATGTATTAAGAATGTGAAACTTATAGATTGTTGATTTTGTGTTGGAGTAATAGTGTGGTTCTATTACCTGACTAGTAATCCAAAAGCTTGGATGGAGACTGTTTGTTAAGATCCTGAAATGGGAGATTAAAATTTGAAACAGAATTCAAATTCTTAAAATATTTAAATTGGAAATTAAAAGCTGGTACCAATAAAATGTAGCACTAAAGTCTTCAGATGAAATAAAATTGCCGGTTCCCTACCCAGTCTAATCTGTATGTGACTCCAGTCCTACACGTACACCAACACAGTTAATTCTTAACTGTACCCTGGTGTGGTCTCGCTAGCCACCTAATTTTATCAAATCATTATAAAGAATGATAAACAGACTGCAGTAATTTGATGATTATCAAACCACCATACTTAAACCCTGCAAAGATGAACAATCAAACTGTAATTTTTTTTTTGTCCTAAACATGATATAACTTGAGGAAATTTGATTGTACAACACTAGGGTGAAATCATACAGTTTTACCCAATGTGTAGGTGTTTGTCAGGCAAAGCACTT